GGTAGTTTGACCCACTTGGGGAAATGGCATTAGGCTACCTATGATGTATGAAATGTGAGTGGACGATGGTGAACGACTATCTTATAACGAGTTTGGATGGCGGGATGGTTCGCCGTTTTGTGAGCACGAGTGAGACTCACTGGGGAATTAGGTATGGTGATGAAGTGAATGGACACACTGGGGAGGTAATGAAGGTAGCGCACGCACACTAATAGGTAGGTTAGGGAAGGCGTGCATGAAATTGCACCTAAAGGTGTGTGCGCATATGTGGGAGCAAGTTTATGGTCATGCCTCCAGGACCTTTGTAAAGCAGTTTATCGTCATGTGGTCACGACATGCACTATGGTTTAAGGTCATATAGTTTGGACCGTGGTTATGCAGTTTAGAGTCATGCAACTAGGACCGTACAGTTTTAGGTCGTGCAACTAGACCTCTGCTAAGTTTAAGGTCGTATAGTTTGAACCATGGCGTTGAGCCTTTTATCGTCATGTGGCTAGGACGTGTACTATGATTTAAGGTCATACAACTAGACTATGGTTATGTAGTTTAAAGTCATACAACTACGACCGTGCAGTTTAAGGTCATGCAACTAGACCTCCGCTATAGTTTAAGGTCATATAGTTCGAACCAAAGCCGAACAGTTTAGGGTCGTGCAGCACAGACTGAGGCTGGGCCATGTACGTGAAGCGCCATGGGGAATAGGTCTGTGGATGGCAATCCAACTCCTTAGGGATAAAATGGTTAAGACCATTCACAAACTGAGGGCTCAAATGGAAATGGTGATTTGATGAAGGATGGCCAACAGAGGTGGACTTCATTAGGGCTTAGGGGGGTAAGCGTACTCCCTCGAGTGAAAGATGAGACTCGGTGGAGAATAGGTAACCCAACTTCCTGGGGATACGATAACTTGGTGTGAAACAGACTCACCGAGAATTGAAGAGGTAAGAACGACCCTAACTTCACTGTGGATAATGGGTTGCAGTATGGGTGTGACTCCTATGGGGATGAGGGATAGCTCTAGACTCCATTAGGGATGATAGGCCACAGTTTAGGTGCAGCAGCCTGGATGCAACATCACTGGAGATGACAGGTCACGGCTTGGGTGCATCCCCACTAAGGTAGGACGCACAAGACTTGAACCTGGAGTAGGTGACAATAGGCTGCTTGAAATACAGTCGGTGCCAAGTGTAGCACTAGTGGTTTCTTCTGAGCATTCAACTGGCACTGAGTTCTCAAAAACACAACTGGCGCTGGGTTGTTAAAAACTCAACTGGCCTTGTGAACGACCCGTGACATTATTTGAGCACAACCGGCGCTAAGTTAACCGGTGTTAGGGTTGTTTCGAAACTCACCCAATGCAAAATCAATCGGCACTAGGGTTGTTTGAAATTCACTCGGTACTGAGCATGGATCGATGAGAGTTACCTCAGGCCTCAAGTCAAAGCCCGACCCGGCCCATCGTCGCTTAGCTTCCCTTGGACACGACTGGAATTCCCAGTTTGTGAGGGGCATTTGAGGGTAGTGTGGTCTATATAAGGGGGTAAAATCTTGTTTTCCCTCACTTTTTCACCAAGGGTAATGCAAAAAAAATTTCTTAACACTGAGGAGAGGGTGTTCGGTTGAAGTTCCGACAAGCAGTGGGGCTTCAGCAAAGGTTTTTACAGGGAAGGTTCTCGGCAACAATTGGACTCCAAGTGGTTTTGCAGCGAAGACCTCCGGCGTGAAGACTTTGCCAAGAATTTAGCAAAGTTGCAGGGAAAGGAGCGAGAAAGGAGACTTCTTCGGGGAGTTTTTTGGGAAATAGAAGAGGTTCTGACTGCCACAGTTTTTTGTAGAAGAGGAGGAAAGTGAAACTTTGAGCATTTTCGCACATCTTAGGAGTTTTTCGAGAACTTTTAAGAGGTTTCTCGAGGATTGTGGTAACCTTTCAACATTTTTAGAGGGGTTTTCAAAGGTTCCTAGGAACGTAGGGGAAGTTTGCAAGAGTTTTTGGTGAGGTTCTGGTCTTGTCCAGGTAAAAAACACATACAGGAGCGTTTTTTAGTGTGTTTCCGACCGTTAGAAGAAGTTTCAACTGGAGACGAACGGTCACGAGAGGTGGACAGTCATGGAAGGTGTACGGTTGGAGGAGGTGAACTGTCGTGGAGGTGAACCGTCGTAGGGAAGGTGTATGGTTACCTCTTTCGTGTGTAAAGTGGAACAGAGAGACGTGATGACAGTTGTCATTCGCTTGTGTGTGAGGCGGCACCGAAGGACATGGAGACGGTTGTCAGTCGACGTAGCTAAGTTCAAGGTGTCACGAGTAAGATTCATGGCACGTGCGAGAGATTTGATCATAGCCGGTGCTGGCCTTGGACAAGCTCAATCAGCGTTGGGTATTGACAATCTCAACCGGCGCTGAGTGTTGAAAGACTCAACCGGCGCTAGTCGTTTGGCATGCAACTAGCACTGGTTATTGGCAGCTCAACCAGTGCAGTGTGTTTAAAGACTCAACTGGCGCTAGTTGTTGGCACGCAACTGGTGCTAGACATTGGAAAACATAACCAATGCTAAGTGTTGGCAAACTCAACTGGCGCTGATCCAATGTCTAAGCAACATTTGGGAGTAAACCACCAAGCCCTTTATGATGGCTAGTTCTTCTTACCAAAATCCCGATGTGAAGAGGCTTCCAAGGGAGGGAGAGATTGGCTCTATGATTTTACAGGCAAGGTTTTATCAAGGGGAGAGCCCATTTGACTTACCCAGCCAGTATGCGAACCAAAGTGGCCCCTCAACGTCACTTTCATTACTGAACTCATTTGTTTCGAAGTACGCGAGGGTAATGATGGCAACATCAGTACTGAAGAAGGGATGGCACTTCTTCATTGCATGCATAGTAACATAGCTTCTGAGGAGAACTTTCCTACCTTAAGGAAGCGAATTGTACAAGCAAAGGGACTACTAATGTAATCAACAAAAGGCCTCTAGATTCAGGGGGAGCCCTAATACCTGAAGGGATACACTACCCGGACTGTCAAGGTATTGGTGTCATACAAAAGCACTCTTTAACTTGCGTCACTATTAGCGGCAGTCCAGTGTTCAGGCTGCTATTATGACTGTTGCACCAATACAATAAAGGAATTGCTGGAGACATTGGAGCCAAGTTAATAATACCTGGCTTCTTGGGCATGGGGAAGTAGGAATCTCCTTACTAGGTCTTCATTTTATTGGAGGTCTCTCGATGATTGGGGCTATGTATGACGAGTTTGTGCCCCCAAACTCGGTCATCTTCGGTGGTGTTAACTTGGGCGATGCAGAGCCACCTGCCAGCCTTCAAAAGATCATTGAGGGCTACCAGTCAATTGCCGGCTGGTCTAGCAATGGCAGGGACCACTTTACGGAGTGGGTAAAATTCTTTTGTGGGGATTATCCTGAAGGTGGTCAAGTTACTCCAAAAGGGAAAGGGAAGGCAATTGCGAAGGAGATGCCTCCCGTATATCAACTTGAGATCGGCGATGACCGTGTCTTCTTGGCCACGTATTTGGCCTTATTTTGTGCAAATTCGTGCTTTCTAACTGGGGGAACGACATTTGTCCTGGCGTACTGTATGTGGCCTGTGACATGGCCAGAGGGCGTGAGTATGCCCATGCTTAGCCAGTCCTGTACCATGGCTTGGGGGCCATCTCTGGTGGAAAGGCCTACAGGGGAAAAGAGGGAGGGAATGGCATTGTTGGAGGAGAGGTTTTTCCCGGGGATTTTAAAACTCCATTCCTTATGCATTACATGTACGGGTGGCTAGGGGCATATTTCCCTGACACCTACATCAAGCATCAGTTCTTGAGAGATAAACTGTGGCCCTTCTTGATGAGGATTGCCAACCAGAGGGCCATCTTCCATACCCCAGGGGAGGCTCGAGGTTTGGGAATGACTCTTTAAACATGAGGCAGGTTCCTTTTCCTGTCGGGAGCTTCACCGACTATGCTTTCATTAATGAGTTGATGAAGGAGCTGGATGGAGCTCCAATAATTATTAAGGAGCACATGTTCATTCTGAGCATCAGAGGGGGAGTCTTACCTTATCGGGCTTCGCACAGTGTCAAGCTAGAGGGGTATTTTCCCCACCACTTCGCTCGTCAGCACGGGCTTGATCAAGGCTGCCCCTTCTTGGTGTTTTTCAAAAAGCGTCGAAGTAAGCTGAACAAGGGGAAGACGGAAGAGTTTGGAACTTTCCATGAGCACTGGCTGCCAAAGCATATACAGACCGCTTGGTCCATGTGTCTAAAGATGACAGAAACAAGCAAATATGTAATACCTCACTTAGACAGGAGGGTTCCGACGACTAAGGCTTATGTGAACTAGTGGAGAATCACCAGTAAGGGATATTGGGATAAAGATCACCCTTGGAAAGGGGTGAATGGTAACTGGCGCCAGGATACCAGGCAAAGGAGGCTGGTGAATGCTCTAGCTCCTGATGCGGTATTCGTCTTAGATTATCCCTCCAACTGGCGGGCTTTAGGGCTTCCGTGTGAGATAGCAGCTGATGAGGCCTCGCCAGAATTCTTTGCAATGAAGACGAGGACTGGGAGTGACTTCAACAATCTTAATTCCATCTTTGAGCAAGATGAGGGGCGAAGAGTCCCTGGTTACGAGAAGCGTCCCCCACAGGACTTGAATGCCCTCATTGGGACTGGTCCCCACAGGAAATTAGCAGGAGGGCCTTCTCAAGGAGGTGGATCTGAAGCGGCAACTTATACTTTGGCAAGGTGGAAGAAAAGAAAGCTCTCGACTGCTGCTGATACTCATGCCCCACCTTCAGTTAGTGGGCATACTTGGAGGCACAAGAATGTCAAGCCTCCTGTGATGTCCGAATCAGGAGGTAGCTCTTCTTCTTCAGATCTTTTAAAAACTACTCCAATATAACCTTCTGCGCTCTCTGGACCACCTTCTGCTTCTAGTGAATTTTTTTCGTTTTCTTCAGAAACCTTGGCAGATGACTCCGACCATTCTGATCCCAATTGAGAGATGACTTCGGATCTTGAGGAGGCGTCCTTGAGTTCCGAGATAGTTCCAGATTCAGAGGCGACTCGGATGGAGGCTGACGAGGATGAAGGCCTTGTAGCCACTGCTCCAGATAAGGGCTCTGATGTTGATGTGGGCTCCATGCCTCAGGAGCTCAGTGCCCCGGTAGCGGCAGGGGCTATGACTCAAGGAGAAGAGCCTGAAGTTGATGACGTGCCTGAGCACCAAGTGGTTGCTGCCCCCATGGACATAGGTCGTGAAGATGAGGGAGTTGAACTCTTCGTGGTCGAGGTTCTGACTGTTGAAGGCGCAAGTCAAATGGAAGAAACCGTGGCTAGAGATGAATTGGCTGGCGAAGGCCAAAGAGAAGTGGTAGTTGATAATGCTGAGGCGACAGTTCAGGTGAATGAAGAGCAAGTAGACGTCCTCATAAGAGAGGGTCAAGTCAGTGAGACTGGTATTGAAGAACTCAAGCAGGTTGCGCTGGGGTTGCCTATGAGTCTGAGGGGCAAGAAGCTCTAGGCTTTGCCCATTTTTCAAAGGAACCAATAGCTCAGATCGCTATTACTTCAACAAGCCCGGTCCATGAGGTCGAGTTTCTTCAGCAGTAGTGGTCTCAGTAGCACCACCTAGGCCTGGTTTTAGTGGTGTTTCTAACATGATTACAAACATACTTAGAACAGGCCTTCAAGGCTTGAGGGAGCTACCCCTTGATGAGCTGGGCGAAGCCTTAGCAAAAATGAGGAAGTTCGCTACGACTACTGCTGTTGGGAGTGCCCCATAAGTGCTTTCCCATTTTAATGCAACTATAAATGAGTTGGAGAGCTAGCGGTTGGGAGCACTACATCATGAAGAAGAAACTGGCAAGCTAGCCTCTTTGGAAGAGTCGATCTTGCGTTGTCGCGAGAAAATAAAAGCCTGCATCGAGAAGAAAGCCACGATAACTAGCTGTCATCAAGACCTCAAGAGGGAGGTGCAAGGAAGCTTCAAGAGAATGATTGAAATCTGAGAGGAGATGTGAATACTAAAACAGGAATTCACATACCTCGAGATAGAGATGGTTCAGAGGAAGGCCATGAGGGCCTCATTGGTCAAAGATTTGTCCGAACTCAATCGCACAATTAAGTTGAAAACTGTGGCGATAACAGAGGAGACTCAAACGGTGGTGAAACTGAAGGTGCGTGTCTAGGGCACCAAGACTTCTCCTGCAGTACACAGCACAGAGATCAATAAGATGATTGATCATTTTTTAATATGTCATTTCCTTTTGTCCAGTACTTGTAAAAGTTTTTAACTGATGAATAAAGTGCTTCTCCCTTTTGACCTTGCTGCATGATTTCATTCTCTTTTTACTTTTGCTGCACCTCATGTGATTTCTCATATGAATGCCTCTCAACACTTTTATTGTCCCAAGAGGCTAATACCCTAGGCCTTGTTTAGCCCCATGGTGGGCTGCCGCGGCTTGGATAGCTTCGAAATGGGGAGTGGTTGTTTTTCCTCTTCTTAATGTCTGATTGGCCAAGGGCTCATAGTTCATTTTCTTCATGATTTGGTGAGCCTGGTTGCTATAGATAGTCCAGTCAGGAGAGACCTCGGCCTCCATTAGTGGCGCATTTACCTCAAGCTCATCTTAGTTTTTAGTCTCCAGCACGAACTCCTTGAGATGTTTTGAAGCGATACACAAACCTCTAGCTGACTCTGGAGACTACAAACTTCGGTTCTTAAGTTTGCCAGGGGATCCTGCTCTCGAGGGGAAGAAAGTTGCTATTTATCTAACTGCTCGCCTCCTGAGAGGTTGATGAACAGTAGAATTTTCAGCTGGTCGTCAGTCTGACGAGCATTCTCTATACTTATAGCAACCGTATTTTGAAGAATATTTTGTGGCGGCTGCCCCGCCGCTTTGGCTTTTAAGAGTGTAATGGGGATGTGCAAGACTTTCTGTTGGTCCGACGTATAGATGATCCTTGGAGTTGGGAATTCTATCTCCATGGCTTGCTCAATCTCAGGAGTGGCCTTTGGTTCATCTTCCGGCCAAGGTGGCTCAGAACTGAGGCAAGAGGGCGAATACTCCTTTTTGAACGAAGAAGGAGTTTCTTGAGGGATGATGGTTGGGATGTTAGAATGAAGAGTAGTTAGGGGTAAAATTCTGCCCTACCTTCCTTCCTCTTTGAACATGTTCACTAACTTCCTACCAACATCCTCAACATCTTCATGAGACAAGGACACAATCTTACTTGTAAACTTGTGATCTCCATCATTCGGCTTCTAAGGCGATGTTAGATCTGTGAAGTAATATTTAGCATCAACATAGTGAGTTTCGGCCACAGGGAACAGTCTTTTGTCAGCATAGACCGTATGATGTCTCCCATCTCGACTATATTTGAAGCACTGATGCAATGTTGATGGGACCACCCCCTTGTCATGAAGCCATGACCGACCGAGGAGAATGTTGTAAAAAGTGTCGGTGTCGAATACATGAAACTGGGCATAATCGTTCATCTCACCAATCTTAAAATGAAGGTGTACCATGCCAGCTGGCTTCTCTCCTGATTGGTTGAACCCTTGAACTGTAACGTGCGTCGGGGTAAGATCTTCGGACCCCAATCCTAATCGAGTAAGGATCCTCCTTGGAATAAGGTTGATTGTCGACCCTCCATATAACATAATTCGATTGATGGAGCATGAATTTAATTCGTCAGTAACAAAGAGAGGGTGATTATGAAACTTTTCCCCAAGCTGCAGATCGTCCTCTGAAAAGGTGATTAGCAAACATCCTTGTAGAATCATGGGTCTACCCCAATGGGTTCTACTTCAGTTTCATACACTTTTGGGTTAGAGAGAGCTTGAACCAAAGCCATTCGATAATCCTTTGAGAACATGAGGGCATTGTCGACACTCAGAAGAGCTGGAAGTTTCTGCAGATGCCCTATCACATCATATTTCACCTTTTCTTGATCGAAGCCTTGTGCTCCTGGTCCTACCACTGATTTGGGTGGTAAGTTGGATTAAGGAGCTGGTTTGAGTAGAAAAGGTTTACATTGGCCGGCTAGCTAACTTGATTGCACAATGGGCTTGGTTTGAGTGATGGAAGTTTGAGGTTTTGGAAGAGACAGAGTACATGGGATCAAAGGGGTCCCTGAAAATTGGAGGATATGTGGATTGTTTGAACTATTGGGATTAGGAAGGAGCCCAAGGAGCTATAAGAAAGGCTGACTAGTCTTTGGATTTGGGGGCAATGGCGGACTGGGGAACTTTAAGGTGCCCGACTTCTACAGTGGAGACTGTAATATCTTCCTTGATCTGAGATTTATCTGCCTCGTGGCGGGTATTGCTTCTGAAATTTGTACCATGTGGCAAGCTCCCTGAGAATAGGAGCTTTGCCCCCTTGACTCTCTCAGTCTCTGCTCAAGGTCAGGCTCAAGTGGCCACTAGGGTTTCTTTGGCTTCGACTTCTTATGCTTCTTTGAAGAAGGTGGCTCTGCCTTGGCTTTAACTGTCAGGGCATCAGCAACTGTTAGGAATCCTACTGCCTGTGCCAGGGTCTTTCACAATCATTTCTGCTGCGTCTTGCTTATATTGATTCCTTCAAATTCTCGGTCGAAAGCCTCGAAGTCTGGGCATATCAAGGTTGTACATGCAGGGGACGTAGACGAGAGAGCATGAGCAGCAGAAGACGAAGATGGAGATGGGTTAGAATGTGGGGGACTTTTAAGGTCGTTCCCCTCATCAGACTGATCTGGGCAACTTTTTACGCCCGGTGCAGGGGGTCTTTTAGGTCTTTCCCTTTCTTAGATCGTTGGGGAGTGCTTTTAACATCATCACCCTCATCAGACGTATGCTGAGCGGGAGGTGGCACGGGGACGTCTTCTTGACAGGATGAAGAAGGAAGAAGGATCATGTCAGGGATGAAGTCCAGTAAAGTTAGCAGTGGAGGAAGGGCTTGAGAAATTCCTACTCAACTGTGGGTTGAGCGGTCTTGTTTCTTCGGTGAGTAACCCTTGGTGCCCGTCTCTTTCTTGTTTTCTAAGGTGATGTTTGATTCATCTCGCTGGGCTGGCGAACAGCTCTAGCATGGAGAACTGCTTCTCACTTTACAGACTTGAGTCTGCTTCAGCCATGGTAGGCTATCCATGGCTGGGGAATCGAGGGTTCCGCAGAGTCTGAGTCATTGATAAGAAGGTCCTGCTTTGGGAGATCTCCTTGCCCTGATGGAGAAGTGACTTGGGAGTCACTTACATGGAGATTGTATAACTCCTAACACTCCCCTATTTTCTTTGCGAATATATCAAGGAAAATTGTGCATTTTGACAGGTAAAGGCCTCTTATCTGATGATACGGGCACCAACGATATTCAGTCCCCTTAGCAAGGCGATCGAGTTGCCTCGCCTGCTTCAGTGTGATTATGCCTTCCTGAAGCATTATAATGAAGAAGAAGTAACAAATACCAGGCATTTCATCTTCCTCTTGGATGGTTACGACATGAGAGGCCTCGGCTACCAGAAGGCCTTCTTTAAGTCTTCAAGTCTTCAAAATCAAAGCCTCAATAATATCCTTCAGTGTGTAGCAGTCATCTGTAGGATGATTGATCCTCCTATGGTAGGCACAAAAATTGGCTTGAGTGATAAGGTCAAGTTGCCCAGGGAACCTGGTTTCTAGAAGCTAGATCATATTTTGTTCCAATAATAACTGGAATAGTGCAAGAACCCATTCCTTCTCGAAGAGGTGGACCTTGTTCTTATGCCTGGTAAAATAATCACCCCGATCAAGGTTGGCTGGTGGGGGTACCAGATTTTACGACTGTTGTTGCTTGTCAGCCTAGGGTGTTACCTTTGTTGTGCTTACCCTTTTAGAGAGGTCCAAAGTTTGGGAGATAGCCTTCTTTGAATCAGCAACCATGACGGCTCCACTGATTACTCCTTCCTGTTGGCTACCCCGTGTATTATTCCGAGAGTTACCATTGCCCCGGTTGTCTGCTAAACTTGCAAATGGTTGTCGTGTGGCACCATGGTGGCACGATAGACTTTCTATGCAGACTGATTTAGAGATCATCTTTGACATGGAGGTCGGATTAGAGGCCTCGACCTGTAGAGAGATCTCAGGTCGCATGTTTCTCACACAAGTTTGGACTGCTTCCTTCTCAGGCATAGGATTAGGATGGCGGGAAGCCAAGTTTCTCCATCTTGATATGAACTGATCTACAGGCTCATCGGGGTCTTGAGTCAGGGTGAGAAGCTTGATGGTTTGAACCTCTCTCTCGACCTCATAGAAGCATTGATAGAACAGTTTCTCCAAGGCTGAAGGTGCTTGGTACTCTCGAATGCGGGGATAAGAAAATCCACGATCCGGATAAATGGGTTACAGAACCCGCAAGCCATAAAAAAATGTGAAACGATAATGAAAGCACATACTAAAATAAGAAACTAGCCAAACAAGAACGTTCCGACTAAGGGGTAGTAAGTCCCCAATGGACTGGCCAAGCTGGTTAGGTGCCTCGAGCTCGTCCTCCAGATCCTTAGGGGATCGGGCGACACGCATCTCGGGTTTCAAGGGAAGACTCGAGACGTTTTTGATATCGCTCTCTCGAGAACCGTGTTCGAGAATGAGGGCAGGTGTTACCAATCGGTGAGAGAGGAATTTAAGGTGGGTTCAAGACTTACTCGAGCTGGCTCGTGGGTACCCTCTTAAATCACAAAGAAAGTCCCCCCAATAATAAAATTGGTTCGAAATTGCCTCCCCTGGCTAGTATTCTTCTTATTTTCTACAACCACACACATATATAGCAAAGCTTATAAGATAGGTGGGTCAGACCTCACCCTTTTCCTCTTTGATGAACGTACACAAGCATGTGCATTCAAAAAGAAGAAGAGAAGATAGACGAGGAAGAGAAGAATTTGACTAAGCGAGAGGATCGGAGCGGTAACTAAGCTGGTGAATAATTGGCCTGACATGGTAGTAAAACGGGCTCGGTAACTAAGATCGGCTCACAGGATTACTACTAGACGTTGTTACCAACACCGACTAGGAAGGCACGATGATCAATCTGTCGTGACAATAAGCGGGCCAGGAAATCATGGCACAACAACATTATGGCTAGACGATAGAACTACCATGAGAGGCTAACATCAATCCCTCTTAATCAAACGAAGGAGTAGCATAATTAAGGCTATGAGGAAAGAA